CCGCAGGTTACGAAGTACATTTTCGAAAACAGCCTCCATTATGAGGAAAGTTTTCTCTTGTCGGTGTAATATCTTTCAGTTCTTTGAATTTATACTTCTTGGCAATTCGTCCAGGGCTCCCGTATTCTCATACAATCAAATAAATAAGTCTTAACTGACCTGACAACGTTTACGTAAATTAAAGATAATGTTATGACTATTTCACTTAGCTTGCAGAGCTCAATATAATCCTTCATCTTATGAAACAACCAAAAACGCCGTCGTTATTCCAAATTATTCTTGTAAGTCTTCGTATGCTCTAAAACCTTTCTCTTACTATTTCCCACCAGAAAATTAATTTAAGCTTGTGTATATTAAACGCAAGGCCATAGATATCGTCTCTCTGTCCCAAATCTTTAATATAGGTCATGACATGAAACAAGAGAGAATAATGTCCCTTGCATAAAATAATTACGCCTGACGTTACAACAAAGCTAAAACGAGACAAGAACTGTAAAAATTACTCAGACTCACGTTGGGTACAGCTCCTGAAAGCCAGTAAGTGAGCATGTTGAACTTTCAGTTTCTTTGAATCCCTTGGCGACGCTTTCCTCAACCCAAAACCAAATAAAGAAACCATCCTCGAATAGCAGAAGAAACTTGATAGCAGCCTTATTTCATTTTGAGGCAGTAGTGGAAGAACAATTTTAAAAATTAGCTGGAATGAATAATGGACTTCAGTTGTCCGCAAGTTTTCACACATAAATTCACCTGACAAAATTTTGGCCAAGTGGGGAAGAGGCAAAGCAGAGACTAGGTTGTTCTGGGTGCTTTACCAGGTAAAAAGCAAAGCTTTAGAAATTTATTTCCTAAGATTTTGTGGTAAATCAAACACAAACTTCAATCTAGATTTTTACTTGTGCAACTGCGTTGGTTGCCCCTAAAAGGGCTTTTTTTGTGCCAAGACGAAACGCAAAGTACTTGTCTGGGACTCCCTTCTCTAGCCTACTGAGTTTTCTATCGCTACTTCCAGAGTCCCAGAGTTACTTGTCCCGAAAAGTCGAACTGGATGCTCGTTCTTCCTCAAAGCAATTTATTTTTGAAATTCCAGAACAATTTCAGAGCTGAATTTTGAACGACTTCCCTCATTCAGTTGCACAGCGAGGTTCATGATGTTGACACAACAACAACAACAACCTTTTATTCAATTTGCAAATAATTTAGGACTATTTTACCCACAATTGGCGGAGCTATTCTAGGTGGGCAACAATACAATAATTATCTCCCATAAAAAAATGCACGGTTGAAGGTTCTAAAGTCAATTAAAAGAAAATAAGTAAAGAAAAAGCAAAAATAATATGAAATAAATAACTAAAAGGTAGCACAATTGAAAATAATAGTAGTTAAATAATAGTAAGACTATAACAACACCGTTGATGCCTTGCTTGGAGCAATACTATACGAGCACAAAGATTTATTTTTGGTGACCTTGGTAAACTCCCTGTGGTCTAAACGTCGAGGATTGACCTTACAGTTAACCGTAGCCATGAAAGATGGTCAAAATCGGAGCGATCACACTCGTGTCCGAGCCTGCGGAGTACATTTTCACAAATGGTTGTGGCAAAGAAGAAAGACGGAAACATTTGCATCGGCATTGATCCAAGAGACCTTATGAAGGTGATCATAGGACGCCATTATTTGTCTTGGCTGCTTGGTGAGCGCTTGGTATCTGATTGAATGATTGCTAAACCAAGGGCATTAAATCAGATTGATTTAAATCAGATTTGATGAGGACGGTTAAAGATGTTGCCTCACGCATGGCCTGTGTTACAGTATTCTCCACGCTTGACGCAAGACGTGGTTTGTGGCAAATCAAATTGGACTACGAGTGCTCACTACTCGCCGGACGTCATTTGGAATCATCTCTGCTTCTGTTGTCTTTCAGCGTTTCATTGAATAGCTTTTTGCTGGGTATCCCTGTGTAATAATCGTGGATTACCTGTTGGTATGGGGCGAAGGAACACCGGAGCATGATGGAAATTAAGGAAAACTCCTGCACAAGGCTCGAGAAGTTGGTTAGAAATTATCTCCAAAGAAATGTAAATTCCGCTGTAATCAAGTCCTGTATAATAATAATAATAATAATAATAATAATAATAATAAAAGTCTTTATTCGAGGTTTTAAACAAACGTTAAAACAAGTTCCATTATAAATGAAGATACAACTGTCTAAGTCTTAATTACAATCTACTTAGAATCAAAGAGACGTCTGTTTACAGAGCATTTCTTAAACCTCTCTGTATTAACACGTGGGATCTGGTGAAGATGCGACCTACCGCGGAGTACCCTGTTCTTAAGGGGGGAAGAAGATCGTGCAGGGGATGCAAGGAAGCACCCATAATACTTTTTCCAGAGCCTCACATCCCTGTCTTTAATAACCTGTTGAATCGGTGTTTCATGTTGAATATACCCAAATCGAAAGGCTCTTCTCAATAGCCTATCAATCTGACTAAGGTATTTGGTATAATCAGCAGAACCCCAAACTCTGATAAAGTAAGCAAAAAGTGACAGAATGAGGCAATTAAAGAGGTAATCAAGATCACGTACACTATAACCATTTCTTATACACACTCTAAAGATATGCATACGTTTTAGAGCTCTTTCCATCAAATCATCAAAATGCTTATCCCAGTTGGTAGGACTATCCTGAAAAGTCACTCCTAGGAGATTTAAAAAAGACACACGTTTAATAGTAACAATTGGCTCAGGAGGGGGCAAAGGCGTTCTTCCTCTTATGACCAGTTCCTTGGGCTTCCTTAGATTAAGTTTCATCAAATTCTCCTCTGCCCAGACTTTAATATTCTCTACCTCCTCAGAGGCACTACATTGACATTAGGCCCAACGGGTATACTACATGTAATGTTATCAGCGTATTTAGTCATTAAGGTATTCCGGTGGGACTTATATCACTAACCATGATGGCAAAACGTACAGGCCCCAGAACAGTGCCTTGGGGCACACCTCGATCGACAGGCAAGAATGGGGTCATGACTTTGTCTACACATACCCTTTGCTGACGATCTTTTAAAAAGTCAATAACCCAATTAACAATATAAGGGTTAATGTTGGCACTTTCTTAAGTTTATCAGTTACTAGTCTGTGGGAAATTGAGTCAAAGGCTTTCGAGAAGTCAAAAGACAGAACTTTAACAAAGTTAGAATGGCCATCAAGCCAACTCATCCAAAAGTGCTGATTATATAATAGCGCAGTCTCAGTTCCACAATCCTTCTTATAGGCAAACTGATCTGAATGAATAAAGCAGGAGACCGGTTTCCTCAATTCGAAATCTAGGATTAACCTTTCAAAAAGTCTCATTGTTATGTCAGTGACTGATATCGGTCTAAGCTGATCTAAAGCAGAAACATTGGTCTCCTTAGGAATAGGTCGCACATTTGCAGTCTTCCAAATCTTAGGGACTTGCTGGGAGACTAAGGAAACATTCAAAATATGTGTTATCACAGGTGTTAGTCCCAGGGCATACTCCTTCCAAAACCAAAAAAGGCAGACCATCTGGGCCACTGGCAGTCCTTTTCACATGCTCTAATGCCTCGAAGACCGATATTTCATGAATCACAGGCGCTTTTGGAAGCTCTGGCATAATCTCCAACAGGGCAGGTTCAACATAATTTATGTCTATGTTGATTGACTGAAAGTGAGTGTTAATATCGTTCACAGTAAATAAAGATGAGAGATTCATACTTGATCCAACACGCCCAGTTAATTTATCAATCACCTTCCACCAAGATTTGCTGCCCATGTCATGTTTTTGCTTGTTAACCTTAGTCAGATTTAACTGATTCTCTTTAATAAGCTGGGTAATTCTCGGTTGCAAGAAAGGCCACTTTGTTGGGTAAGAGATTTCAAGTCAAGTTTATTACTGTCACCAGCAATTAACCTCGCATTCGGTGAGGTGGCGAGAATTCTTTCGCAGGAATTTACCAGGAAGTCAATAAAAGCAGTTTCATAATAATCAAAGGTCGGTGGATGGTAAACCGAGGCAACAAAATAATCTTTATTGGTCGTAGTACACAAAGACAGGCCTCAAGCCTTATGACGCCAAATTTACTGCGATTAAAGATACACCTGCCCCTGACTTCCCTGGGCACTTCGCCGAGTCCTTTGTAGGTCAATTATCTACACTAATTCTTAAGTAAAAATCTCGGCGAGAAGACCGCTACCCTACTCGAACTGCTACGGAGAGACACGCGTTGGAGGTGGGAAGCACTTCATCAAAAAAGCATTTCATCTCCTAAAGTTGGACATCTCTCAACCCCCACTCCTTAAGTTCTTTGATCCTGTAAAGCCATTACACTGTCAATGGAAGCTTCAAAGAATGGTTTTTGGTGTTGCATGCCTTTAGGATGGGTACCCTGTGGCACGTGCCAGAAGAGCCCTAACAGAAGCTGAAACTCGATATGCACGGATCGACAAGGATATGCATGCAAGAGAATTCATGGTTTCATCTACGGTAGAGAAGCAATCATTGAAACTGATCACAAACCTCTTTCTGCAATCGTAAAGAAGCCTCTTCACAAGGCTCGTGCCGATCTTCAACGAATGCTGTTCTAGCTACAGAGCTCCGATTTGTCAAAGTGGAAAATACCATAATATTCTTTAAGCTATCGTCTGGTTGGTGTAAACCTGATTTTTGCGTTAAAGTAAAACCTTTTTTTCCCTTGAGGTATGAGCTGATCGTGGATGATGGTATCATTCTGAAAAGTCTGATAGTTGTGGTACGCGATCCTTACGCAAGGAGAATGTCCAGCAACTACGCAAGGGACATCCTGGAGCAGATGCTGCAATGGAAAGAACTCGGGATGTTGTGTATTGGCCCTCTATCACATCGGACATTGACTCTGCGATAGCCTCTGTCAGCCGTGCAATAGTGCCAAACCACGCATGCAAAGAGAACCACTTGTTATTAATCCGGTCACAGATCTCCCGTGGTTGTTTGTGAGTGCATGCATATTGGACTGAAATGGATTGCAGTACCTGATTTTATGGAATCTTACTATAGTTGGTTTGAGATTGATATCCTTCGTGGTTCGTCCACCAAAATTGTAATTGAGAAGATGAAGCGTGCAAGTGCTTAATGACAATGGTCCACAATCTTTAAGCAGGGAATTTAAACGTTTTGCTAATGAATGGCTCTTTGAGCACGTAGCAGGCAGTCTGTATCATCCAATAGCCTGGCCGAGAATACTGCCAAACCTGCTTTGCAAGGGTACCAAAAACGGTTCTGGTCCCTCAATTGGCCTCCTTAATCTACGCAATGTTCCTAAAGATCAAACACTAGGTTCTCCTGCCCGGCGACTTACGTCCAGTCGTTCCAGTTTCACTATTCCTGTGGCAAATCATCTCCTCACTCTTAAGGCAGCCAGTACTTAAAATGCCTCTTCAGCTTATGATAATCAGCATGTCAAGCATCTTGCTCTCTTTATTCACAACAGCTTGTGAGACTTCAAACTAAGAAAGGTTATGAGAAAAATGGCGTTGTTAAGAAACCAGCTGCAAAGCAAGGATCCTACGTCGTGCAAACTGGAGTAAAGGAGTACCGCAGAAACCGGAAACATATTTTAGCTGTTCCAGAACCTGCTCCAGCTCAGTCTCCTGCTGCTGCTTCTTCACCGACTCTCTTAGCTACAGCTCTTCAACAGCCTCCAACCCTGTCAAATGCTCCTCACCAGGGTCCTTCCATGTTAAATGAGGATATATTCCCTGAGTTTGCAATTTCCGCCAAGACACCATCAGAGCCTGGAGTCTATCAGACGTCACCGACAAGGAAGTTTATCAGACCCAAAGCTTCACTACAGTCTTCTCTTGAAAGAGGTACGCCGGAGGTCTCTGGTTCAAATGGTCTTGCATACTCTAATGCCAAAAGATCGCAAGTTGTCACAAGATCTGAAAGAATCTCACGACCTTATCTGAAATCCAAGGAGTTTGTGACTTAATTTTGCAAATAAAGGACATATTTAGCATAGTCTGTTAGGACTTCCAATATAGCAACCGACCATCGTGAAACATACATGATTTTTTAGTTCTCGCGGACGTTATTTGCTAAACAGCACAATATAAGTTCCTGGAATCGGATTTTCAGTAGCAGATCTAGATCGCCCAAAATTCGCATTTTATCGATTTCAAAGTCTTTTTTTTATTGTTGTCGTAGTGATATCGATTTTAATAAAAACTGCATTTTGGCAAACTTCAATTCATAGTCAATCACTGGAGAAAAGTTTGTAGTAATCAGACAAGAACAAAATTACTTTAAAGGCGATTGAAAAACATCGGTATGGTCTCCGAGAAACTGTACCAAAAACCTTAAAGGGAACCTAGAGAAAGCCAATGCATACAAGGATGCCATCAACCAATATGTAGAAAAGAGGTATGCTGTAGAGGTAAAGGAGGCAGTTGATGGTGACGAGAAAGTCAGGTATTTATCTTTTCACGCAGTCTTCAGAGTGGACAAGAAAACTACAAAGTGTCGTGTTGATGCGTCAGCTTATGATGAACATGAGGTAACACTCAATGACTGTATCCTTTCAGGGCTAGCACTTCAACCTAATCTTGTATCTGTTGTTGAGAAGATGTTCCTCCAGATCAAAGTTGACGAAAGAGACCAGGACGCTCTACGATATCTACGGAGGGATCTAAAGAGTGACGATCCACCGAGAATCTACAGGTAGCAGAGATTAGCATTTGGTGTTAATTGAAGTCCATTCCTCGGAATTGTCACAGTTCAAAGTCACGCGATGAAATGCAGAGAAGAGTTTCCTAATGCATCAAGAGAAGTCCTGTCAAACATGTACGTGGACGATTGCATTACTGGTACTGATGACGTTGGAGTTACGGTGGAGTTGCAGCAGTCCTTACTCAAGATGATGGAACTAGTTAAGGTTGCTAAGAGTTGTCAGTCGAGGAGTTAAACGAAGTCAATTTATACTGGTACGGAGAGCTGCAACGGCAGATGTTACTCATGTTCAAGAAGTATTGAGGGAAATAAAAGTCAAGAAATCACCTGGCGTTGACGGCATTACACCTAAACTACTTAAGGTCTCAGTTTGTTTTCAGGCGTTCATAAACATCGCTCGCAGGAGTACTCAAAATGCCAAGTGTATCAAACGCTTTTTAAAATTACACATCGTTATAAAACCGTTAATAAAAAATAGACTCAATAAATTCTTTATCACGTTGAAGCGTAACTCTTTTAAAATTTCTTCGCAAATTTGGTGCTTGTCAAAAGTTAGAACCGGCTGGGCGTATAGGTGATTTTGGAAATTTTTTGAACGGTTTCGCTAATTAAAAGTCCACGCGTGCCTCTATGGTCTTGAATATTGAATGAATGCAATTTGTCTTGAGAAATTGTGAAATACTGCATTTTGTACGAGGTCTGTATGATGAAAACAGCACCTCATAGCACTCTTTCTCCTCAGATGTGGTGTATAAAAAAAATAAAAGATTGGTTTGCACGCACCGAGATTTATTGGCAAGAATTTTTTAACTTGTCGAACGCAAAAAAGTCGGTCTGATTTGTTTTCCAAGAATTTGTTTTGCACGCCTTATCTACTGTGATCAAGAGCCATCACTGCTCTTAAATGTGACAGAAGACTATTATTTTTGGGGGGGTACATATAAGGCTATATCAACTCGATACAAAATTTGTTTCACTCCAAAATCACTTAGCTTTTCCCTCAAAAGTCACATGAATGTGCCGTTACGTTAACTGATTTGTGGAATACAAAATTATTGTTTGATTTAAGTTATAAATTTATCAATGGGAGCTTCGCTTTCAACTGTGGCTAAATATATATATTAACTGGAGCTCATCCTAACGCATATCCTGATGATCAGCAACGGTACTATTCTGATACTAATCATTTGGCTCTGCGCACCCAACTCAATAATGAACTCTCTATAGCAGTGGACTGGTTCAAGCACAACGGTTTAATTGCCAATCGTAACAAATTTCAGTTAATGGTACTGGGAGATGATCATGAGTTTTCACTTGCTGTTGATGGGATAGAGATCACCCGATGGGATGATATTGATTTACTGGGTGTTAACAACTCTAAGTTTACGCTATGCTAAGACGAATCAAGCGCTGTAAACGTGTGCTATATCTCGTTCTTCACAGGACGAAAAAAAACAAGAATCTGTAAACTAAAAACACTGTAGAATACTAGACTCCGTTGCGAGAAAATCGCAAATGTGTTTTAAATTAAGGAAAGGTAAGACAACCTCTGCACAGCTTCGTCAGTAAACATTTCTGGAAAGAACTTTGATTTTGCAATGCTAATAAAGTTCTACCCATAAATCCAGTAGGTGCCACCGTTCGCTGTTTATACTTTTCAAGCGACAACGTTTTTTTGTTCGACTTGCTCACTCTTAATTGTCTCAAGCGTGTCCTCTGAAACAAAAGAAATTACTAATGAGGCAAGATTGCAAGCGTCCTAAAGCGTGTTAAAATAAATTCTTTTGTTTTAAAGTGAAAGCGTGTCGTGCGCGTGCTTTCACCTTTAGCATTAAAATCCTGTGGAGGGTCACATTTGATAAACACGTTACAAATTTGTGCAGTAAAGTAAATTTGCAACTTCAAGTTATAAAAAGATTTAGAAAGTTGATAACAGGACAAATTAGGTTAAAGCTCTATAATGCATTTATACAAACCGTTTTTTGTTATTGTAGCGATGTGTGGCATTTTTTTATTGCAGTTAAATACGCAGATACTTAGAGTAGTTTTAAACGATTCATCCAGCAGTTATGAGGATCCACTTACCAAACTTGATATGACCACCCCAGAGACAGGACGGGTGCGAAGCATTATGTTGACATTGTACAAATGTTTACTGGGAATGACCCCGCCTTACCTTCGAGCTTACATTCAAGAGCGGCGTGTATCAGATTATAATTTGAGAGGCTAAGACAAGCTGGAAATACCGCATGTTAAGACTTCCACCTCTGGTTTGCGATCATTTAAATACTTTGCTGCTCATGCCTGGAATAACCTGGCCGATAATATCAGAATGTCCGAAACGGTTGCCACTTTTAAACGCAATATCATAGATTATGCTTATTAAGAGTTTTTGTTGTTTTTTCCTTTCCCTCGAGAATGTCGAATTGTAGATCTTAATGATATTTTGTTATGTAAATTATTGTATCAGTGTATCAGTGTAGCTAAAATACAAGTTAAGCCGTTATGTCCTTTATTAGCTTTGGATCTTTTCAGTTTTCATATCATGTAGATCGGAGGTACTAACACTATGTGCTACTCTACAATCACAAATAAAATAAAGTTATGTACGTATGTATGTTTGTATGTATGTATGTAGGTGTACCAAGCACAGTGTGAAAGGTGTTTTTTTTTATTATTTAATTTATTATTTGAGCTAAATATACGTCACACAAAACGTAACTGTGGTAAACGTATACATCTTACAACTTCACGAAACAAACATAAAAATAGCTGAGGTTACATTTATGCTTGAATTCGCTTAGCTACTTACAATAAAAGGAAAGGACGGTGGATGGCTCAACTTTGCAGGACACATGGCTAAGTCAAAGCGACTAGCTAGAGGGTAACCAGTGCAAGCAACAAATTTAAATAAGAAAAAATTCCCATTTGTTTGAAAAGACGGTGAAAGAATTACAGCGAGTGCTTCTTGTTTTTCCATCTCAATGACGGAATTTAGTTTACCCTTAAAAAGAGTCATGGAGGGAGACGTACCTGCAAGTTTGCTCGAGTATATATGATATCTCCCAATAAGAAGAACGAGATCAATGGCGGTGGAGGGTGCAAATTTAGAGAGTCCCGTCAGATGCAAATCGGTTAGTGCAGTACTCTTGAGGCCCTTTTGAATTAAAAATTGTTTAACATCGTTCCAAAAAGCAATTGTTGCCGAACATCTCAGAAATAGATGAGATATAGACTCTATTTCCCTTTGGCAAAAAGAGCATTTGTCCGATTGCTTTAAATTAATTTTCTTTAAAAAATCATTGGTAGCAATCCTCCGATGCAAAAACTTATAATGAAAAGTTCTTAATTTTGTAGAAGCCGTACAGTGGAAAGCGATTGTGTATGCATCTTTCCAATCAATATCACTTACATTTTCGACTTGAAGGTCACTGAGCCACTTCTCTTGGCTTCTAATGAGTGTAGAGATTCTTTTTCTCAGTAGCGACTTATAAATAAAGTTGTTAACTTTACTTTTAGATGTTAATTCAGTTATAGATGTTCCCTCGGTGGAAACAACCTCGTACGTCGGTTCATTTTGCACCTTATTTATAAGTGATTTGACAGCTGAAGCTATACTACAATATTCTAACCAATTTAACTCCTGAAAATTTGATTTCATGGCATCATATCCGAGGAGGTTCCCACCCTCATCTAATAGATGAGAAATTTTGCAGACACCATGATCCATCCAGTGTTTACGGAATACAGGCTGATTGTCAATTCTTACCAAAGAATTAAGCCAAATAATCTGATCGCCCACATTTGCAATGGAGATGGCTACAGCATCAGAGAAATGCAATTCCGCCCAGATTGACATGACCTCACATACAAAAGGATTACGTATTTTTAACAGTGCAATGTCATCTTTGTGTAGATTACAAGAGAAAATAAATTCCCCACCATACATTTTAAGATTAACATCAAAGAAAGATCAAGATCATTTTAACATCAGTGTGAAAGGTTGAAGGAAAATCCTCTTTTACCAAACACCAGTGTTATCTTCAAGTCGGATCCCTACTTTGACAAGAGAGATCGGTTGCTACAGGTAAGAGGAAGATTGCAGTACTAGGACCTTACAGAGGGTATGAAACATGCAATTATCTTACCGCATGGGGCATCCAGTGGTTAAAGAGATCATACAGAGTGTGCACAAGGACCTGCTTCGTGCTGGACCAGACAGACTCACCTTGCACTTGGAAGGTCAGCGTTTAGCTTACCAGA